GTGGACAGTTGCCTCTTTCTTTTACATATATATATATTTTTAACTTTTGGACAAGAGGATTACCATCCAAAATTGGAGCCGCAAGTTGGAACTGGGCTGAAGCCTGGTGTTGGGCATTTCCATCCACGCAGTGGCTCTTGGTTCCGGCAAGTTCTGCCACTCACTTCCCCTCTTTGCATCTATGACCATATATTGCGTTTGGAAGATTGACTTTTTAAGATTCCTTCTCTACTTCCCTTAACTTCCAATCTAAAAATAAATGGGAGAACAGATGAGAGTGAAATTGCAGAGAATTGTTCTCATCCATAATGTAACTCTCTATTTAGGAACGAGCGTAGAGAGTGTAATTTCATGTTCATTTTGAGACATCTAAGCCAGTTTGGGGGATCACGGTCTGCTGCTGGGGAAGGAGGTGCAATTTGTCTGGGTCTGAATAAACTTCCCTTGTGCTAACTACCAGAACAGAGGCGGCCCAGGAGGGCAGAGGGCTCTGACATGAGGGCTTAGTTTCCGTTCCTCCAGCCTCCTCCAGGGCACCTGCTTTTAGAAGTAGCTAAAGATGCAGCTTGGTAGACATTCTTGTGTGAAGATCACAGCCAGGATAGCAGTTCCAGTAGTCCCATCCAAACATCTGTATCTCTTCTTTTTTGAAGATACAGTGACAGCTCTTGACCACATGCTGTGGGTTCTAATCTCATGCCTTCCCACTGTAGTTACGGTGAGAGGTGAGACAAGCCACTTATAACTCTTGGCTGGGAAATAATGACATTCCCTCATTTCATATTCATTTTTTTCTTTTTTTAGATTTATGTAATTCAGATTTATATGAGGGTACGAATGTTCTGATTACGTTGTTTTTACTTCTAAGGTGAAGTTTAAGTTGTAGTTAAGCCCTTCACCCAGGAGATGTGTTGTCATTTCATATTCTTATTTAAAAGATGACATAATTCCCCACCAAATGATGAAACAGTGCGAATGGCTGCCAACGACATGCTGGAACGGATCCCCTTGTGTGCAGAGAATAGGAGACACCTGGCTCAGCTCTCGTGCAGTGTGTCTGATATTTGGGGCTCATTTTCTGTTTCCAAAGGCCAGGGGTTAATTAATGCAAGGACCGACCTTATGAGAGACGTGTTATGGCCCGCAGATCTGAGGAGCTGACCCAGAACAGCTGTATGGCCGGCAGGAAGGAACACAGGCTATATTAACATTAGGGGACTAGAAATGTACTTAGGAAAGTATACATCCATTTATTAGAGTAGTGACACAGAGTCCTAAATTTTAAATGTCTTTGGCATGAGGAGGTAAGGGATCTAAGAAAAAAAAAAAAGAAAGAAAGAAAAGGAAGCAGAATTAATTTAATTGACTGTATTATTTCTTTAGAAGTTTTAGTGGCTGGCAAACATGTTGAACAGTTTTCAGTAATCAATTTTGACCCCTTCAAAATGAAGATACTTAGGATCCAAGTTTGGTGCAGTGATACCTACTTTGGGCCAGGCATGGTGGCTCATGCCTGTATTCCTACCACTTTGGGAGGCTGAGGCAGGTGCATTGCTTCAGCTCAGGAGTTTAAGACCAGCCTGAGCAAGAGCGAGACCACATCTCTAGTAAAAAGAGAAAAATTAGCTGAGTATTGTGGTGGGCACCTGTAGTCCCAGCTACTCAGAGGCTGAAGCAGGACGATTGCTTGAGCCCAGGAATTTGAGCTTACTGTGAGCTATGATGCCATGGCACTTCACCCTGGGCAAGAAAGGAAGTCTCTGTCTCTAAAAAATAAGAACCAAAACAAAACCCTACTCTGGAGCAATTTTTATATAAACTGTGTTGAATTCACAAGTCCCTAAAGTTGCTCAGTGGAACTGCTCACGCTGACAGGGCTGGCGATATATTTCATCCAATACTAGAGATTTCCTGGGTATGAGCACCTGCCAATTCCAAGTAAGGTGCCAGGAACACGTGGGCACCCCAGCCTGTGGTCTAGCCGGAGAAGAGAGCACTGGTTCCTGTGTGGTGCAGGAAGGGCCTTATTAGAAACCGCATTCATTCAGCTGGCTGCCCCCCACTCTCTCTTCCCTGTGGCAGGATTACTGGGCCCCTGCTAGAGTCTGGGCATGCTGCCGGGGGCCAGGTATTCAACTAGAGATGCCCCAAAGTGCTCATCCCTCATGGCACTGCCTGCACAGAGGGATCAGCCTCACAGACAAGGTGGCCTGGGAGACAGCTTCTGACTCAGGACTGTTTGCCAAGAGGAGGCCGAAGTGAGTTTTAGGCAGAGAAATTATTGCTTTCCAGACATTGAGCTGTGAAAATGCGAGCTGTGTTTGGGGACTGTTCTGTTCACTGGGGTAGAGTTTGGGGCTTGTGAGTATCAGCATCAGAATAAGGCTTTCTCAGAACTTTTCATGTTTGGAAGATGAACCCGAAGCCTGGGTGCTTCAGGAATCCACCCACGCTCACAGAAGCAGTTAGAGGAAGACCTGGGATCAGAGTGATGGCCAGGCATGGAGAGTGGGCAGGAAGCCAGCAGCTGCCAGTGGGTGCACCTCCTCTCCGCATGGCCGCTCCTCAGACGCACCTCTAAGAGCTACAGCCACCTGTCCAGGCAGTGGACAGCTGTCCTGTGCCCCAGTAGCTTTCGAAAGGCCACTCCCTTATTTCACAGACAAAGGTAAAGATTGGGCCTGCCGTGTGACATTGAGATATAGCAGTAAGTGCGTTTATCAGGCATCATCAGGGGTCATGGGACATGAGGAAGAAGTGACAGACCTAACTGCTCCCTTTCTGCACACTCGGCCGGAAACGTCAGGCCTGTGTACAATATTGTGCATGGCCATTGTGGCAAAGGACACATATTCACTGTGACTTGGACCTCTCTGGCACCCCTGTGTTCTAATCCATTCAAGTGAAGTGTATTTCAGTGCCCTATGAATTAACAAATACTTTGGCAATACCACTTATCTCTCTAGATTGAACTATAGGTTTAACCACAGTGCCAGTTCAAGCAATGTTCCATTTACCTTCCCAAATCTAAATATCTCAGAAATTGGGTGTTCATCCAGAGAGACATGTGTTATCGTGGGGTAGGGGAAGTATGTCACTAATGTCAGCCACAGTTACATTGGTGTTAAAAAGGCGTTGATGGAACTAGGTGATGGAACTCAGGATGCAGGATAGAATATTACACAGCCTTAGAAAAGACGGGCATCCTGACACTTGGGACGTGGATGAACTGAGAGGCTGCTGAGCTGAGAGTGATGAGACAGGCACGGAAAAACAGGTAGTGCCTGATCTCACTTTGTGTGAGATCTAAAAACGTTCATCTCTTAGAAGCAGAGGGTCGAATGGTAACCAGGAGCTGGAGGAGAGTGGGTAGGAAAAGGGGACAAGTTGCTCAAAAGATAGTAAGTTTTAGTTAGATGGGAGCCATACTGTGACCCAGTGCACAGCAGGGTGACCACAGTTAATGGCAGTGTATTATCTGTTTCAAAATTGTTAAGAGAGTAGATTTTAAATTACATGAGGAGCTGGAAGTGTCTGTAAGCTTGGCTTAATCCCACAATGTGTAGGTATGTGGTAACGTCCCATTGTAGCCCACAAATGTATACAATTGTTACTTGTCGATTAAAAAGGAAAAAGATACTGTCTTTATTTGTTGTGTGTGTGTATATGTGTAAATTTTTTTCTCAAAGATGATATTGTTTTCAAGCTGGGTGGATTCATATTAATCACCATATAGGGAGAGAAGGACAGAATACAAACAGAAGTCCACATACGGATGGCTTTCCATCACCTTTCCTCCTCCCGAGATGAGTCCCTGGAGGGTGTTTCAGTGACATGATACTTCAGTGGCTGATCCACGGGAGGTGACAATAACCTCCTTCCCAGAGACACTCGGGACACTTACTTTTCTGTGAATAGCAGCCGCCATCCTGGGCCAGTGAAGTCTGATAGTGAATTTTCAAAGGGCCGTGCACAGAGGCAGCAGGTGGGCGGTCATCACGATGGCTGTGCACAGACTGACCTGGCCTGGGCTTCTCTTGTCCTGCAGGAACTCTGACCGGCCGTTCCTGCTGTTTCTGTCTTACCTGCACGTGCACACGGCCCTCTTCGCCTCCCGGGACTTTGCCGGCAGAAGTCAGCACGGAGCATACGGGGACGCTGTTGAGGAGCTGGACTGGAGTGTGGGTACGTGTGCCTTCAGGGGGCTTGTCGGGTGGCCAAGGCCATGCTCCTTCTGTCCTCTTTCCTGTGAATTTCTACGGTGTTCCCGAAGCCTCTTTAAAGACCAAATGTGTGTGTGTTTTTAAAGGGAACGCCAAACTGAAACTCACCCCCTCCCTACACTGGTCACCTCCTTACGTTGACCTAATTTCCATAGACCGGACTTGCACCACATGTGCATATCAGAACAGGCCTGGTTCCGTATGGTGACCACCTCTGTGTGTCGCCCAGTTTGTTGATCACCTTACAGAGGTTCTACTATATTTTAAAAGGTAAACAGGATACAAAAAGCACCTTTAGCCCTACATGGGTGTTTGCAGTAGCCGGTAGCTACATTCTGGGAGGTCTGAATTCGTGGGTTGGTGCTGGAGGGAGATTCATGGGGAAAAGGAGTCTGAGCCTGGTCATTCAGCAGTCAGAGACGTGACGGGTTTGCGGTGCAGAATAGCTGCAGGGGGCTCAGAGCATCTCAGAGCCACACTCACAACCCCATCTGAGGACTGCAGAGACTTTATTGAGTCCTTTCTCCCCTCTTCTGGCCCAGCAACTCTGTTTCTGAGAAATCCATGTCTGGCATTTCTCCTATCAGGGGTCCTTAAACTTTTTAAACAGGGGGCCAGTTCACTGTCCCTCAGAGCGTTGGAGGGCTGGACTGCAGGCCCTGGGACAAGTCCGCTGCTAAGCAGGACAGACAGTGGTGGCAAAAACACCCGGCAAGCCGGATAAATGTCCTAGGCGGGCTGCATGTGGCCCACGGGCCGTAGTTTGAGGACGCCTGCCTAGATAGTGGAAAGGCTGCCTTGTTGAGGCTCTGTTTACCAGTAAGTCCCCCGTGTGCATGTGAGGTAATCTTCACACACCTTCCTTTCCCTTTGCTCAGCACAGCAATCTCAGGCCAACCCCTTTGAGTACAGGGAAGGCCGTAGCGTGTGGGTTACCAAAGGGAGTGGAAAATCAGCAACTCTGAACTCCGGAATCTCAGGCTTTTCTCGTGATATTCCCTGCCGTTTTGCTAGGTCCATTTGGACAGCATCAGACAGAGGAGTGGTAATGGTGGCCAAATGCCAGCAGTCAACTGGCCTGCTTCAGATTTTCATGACACACAATATCAATTTACCCTCTGTAACTTGGAAAAAAAAAGAAAAACTATATGAAAAAGAATGAAAAGGTTTTCATGCCTTTCTTCATCTTCCCTTTCTCTCTCTCATCCTTCCTTCCTTTTCTTTTTGGGCACTAAATTGATAGTTTCTAAGTTTTTCATCCGGGCATTTTGGAAATCCAGTCATTGCCAGCGTTGCCGTTGTTGGTTTGTATTCAGCAGGAAATTGATTGCAGGGATGGTCATCGTCTTTGGGGACTGTTAGAACAAGTAGGTTCTGTCTTGTTTTAATCACGAAAAGAGAAGCAAGAAGACTTGAATCTTGGCCTAGTGCTCGTAGCTCAGTGGTTACAGCGCCGACCACATGCACCAAGGCTGGAGGGTTCGAACCTGGCCCGGGCCAGCTAAACAACAATGACAACTGCAACAACAACAACAAAAGTAGCTGGGCGTTGTGGTGCACACCTGTAGTCCCAGCTTCTTGGAAGGCTGAGACAAGAGAATCGCTTAAGTCCAAGAGTTTGAGGTTGCTGTGAGCCGTATTGCCACCGCACTCTACCCAGTGTGACATAGTGAGACTCTGTCTCAAAAAAAAGACTTGGCTTGTCTTCCACCTTTTAGATCTTTCTTTCATTGTCTCTGTGAAGTTGGGAGATGTCTTAAATCTCTGAGATGTTGTGACCTTGATTATAGAGTGCAGTAGAGCTAAGTGCAACTTCTTGGTTTCTGTTTTTTCTAGTGGTGTGTGGCTTTATAATGTAACAAGACTGAATGTCACTTACAACACTAAGAAAAACAAAACCCACATCCTTCTCCCTGATAAGATAGATAAGAAGAATGCACCATGCTTAGGGCTTTCACATGTATGAAGACATGCCTTGTCCTTCCTTCATGTATTGTTTCCTTTCTGAAATGCTGCGTGTAAATCTGTTTACATATTTCACATCTTAGTGGTATAGGTCAGCAGACTGTTTTGTAGTATAAATCAGTAGAATTTTGTTTTTTGCAGTTTTTGGCCAGGGCTGGGTTTGAAACTACCACCTCCGGCATACGGGGCCAGCGCCCTACTCCTTTGAGCCACAGGCACCGCCCCAGTAGATTTTTTTTTTTATCTTTTTAATGAGTGTTCTGTTTAATGCATCAGATTTCTGACACAATTCTCAGACTTCTTCTGGCAAACAGACAACTTCATGCTGCATGATCACACCTGTTGATTTAATTCCATTTCATTACAATGGCACAAATGCCTCTTCGGACGCATTAAAAATCATAACTGCCAGCGTTATCTTCCTACTTCTTCCCTCTAGAATATTTAGAGTATTTTTCAATCTTTGACACCTGCATTAGACCCTGATATAATATTTATAGATGATTGTGTTCTTTTTTATTTTTTTTTGCCAAAAGATAAAATCCTTGCCCTAGGCATCACATTAATTTTTAAGGAAGCTTTTGTTTCATAAATCCAATACATCTGAGTGTTTTGAGAAACATTTCCTTCTTCCCAAGAAAGGCCTTTTCATTATTACACAGAAACACTCTGGATAATAATGTAATAAAATTAAAAGGGGATATCTGCTTGCAAAGACATGCTCCCGACAGAAAGGACAGCTGAGACGGAAGCATCGGAGTGCACCAGGGTGGGGCACATGTCCCTCATTCAGAGAGTTTACTGCTGAAACCTGAGGGTGCCATCATTTCCAGGGAGCATCCCTTTCTCCTTGGCAGGCTCCTCTGTGCCTGGAAAGGCAAATTTGCAACAAAGAGACTATTGCATAAATTGTACACTGTGCCTAACTCCACCCCACGCTATGGCGGCCTCCTGCCTCATTCTTAGTGGGCTTATTCTTAGAGGGCTCTGCTTTTTATCATTTCCATCCTGGAGAAAGGTTGACACCACAGGGATGATGTGAGAGCTGCAGGGGGCCTTTGCGATAAAGCCACACAGGGGCCTTGAAACTCCTACAGATGCAGTGTTGTTGTGCAAATCTGAAGGAGGGCAACTCTTTCTCCGAGATCACAGTGACTGCCATGGGGAGCTTTCCCACACCTGGCCCTGCAGTCACGTACGTGGCCTCCTTTAGTGCCACCTGTCGTCTGTGCTGTGGGCAGCACCTTTATCAGCCTGTGGAGGTGAGGCTGGGGAAGGTTGAGAACCACACCGCGGGTTACGGAATGCACCATGGAGGTTGATAACCACACCGCAGGTTACAGAATGCACCATGGAGGAACAGGTGTGGAGATGCAGCTTCTCCGCCCAGAGGCTGGTGTCTACACTGCCTGATTCTTCTCCTTTTGAGTGACAAGCAAGGTGGCATCATCACCATTGTGCTGCCTAGGAACAAGGCCCACTGCACAGTCACGTTTCCTGGATGCCAACTGTGTGCCTAATTGTTTTGGTGGGAGGGATGCAATCATGATAAGATGCTTGGCTTAAGGGAATGAGGCTACAGAGTGACTTAAGAATCTCACAGGAGCTCTTAGGGTGCAGGGCAGACTGAGGAACAGCCCTAGCAGGTGCAGGGGAAGTGCCCTGTGGACCAAGGGAGGGTGGGAAGGTGGGCGTATGCAGAGGGTGGGTGCAACCAGACACACCTACAGTGGATCCTGCTGGGCAGTCCTGCTGCTGTTGCAAAGTCTGATTTACAGTCCAGCTAGTTCTGAAACAGGCGGGCCTTGGGGAGGAGCAAATGTGTAAAATCACATCTGCTTTCAAATGCACAGCAAACATCTTTTGGGGGGTGTCATTGTACCTGTTTTTCTTGTATTGGAAAGAGGCTGACATTTACCACAGATCTGCTGGTGCATGGTGGGTGGGAGGGAGCCGGTGGCGGGAAGGATGGAGTTCTCCCCAGTGGTGTCTTATCTGAAGGCCCAGTCTATGAGGTGGAATTTGCATGCAATTAGCGTTTACTTAGAGCCCCCTGTGCTGTTAATAGAAAAATGGAAAGGAGTCAGAAATCAGTCCTGCTCAGGATGAGACTAGCAAACGCTGTCCTCTTATGAAAAGAAGAGAAATGCCGGCAGAGAGCAATCAGGTGGACAGCCAAACAAATCTCTGGCTTTGGGTCAGACCTGCCTCCAATGGAGAACAAAACAAAACAAAAATCCTGCCCCTGCTGAGGTTGGAATCAATCAGATGGTTTTTTTTTTTTTTTTTTTTTTTTTTGAGACAGAGCCTCAAGCTGTCCCCCTGGGCAGAGTGCCGTGGCATTACAGCTCACAGCAACCTCCAACTCCTGGGCTCAAGCGAGTCTCCTGCCTCCGCCTCCCAAGTAGCTGGGACCACAGGCGCCCGCCACAACGCCCGGCTATTTTTTGGTTGCAGCTGCCATTGTTGTTTGGCGGGTCCGGGCTGGGGATTCGAACCTGCCACCTTAGGTGTACGTGGCTGGCGCCTTAGCCGGTAGAGCTATAGGCGCCGAGCCTATCAGATGGTTTTTGTGACATTCTCTCTTTAAAACAAGCACAGTGGAAGAAACGCCAGCACGTTGGATTTCCTGAGTCTGGTGTTGAGTTGGCCACAATCTCAGGATTAACCATAACCCCACCTCTAACCCTAATCTGTCGTATCTGTTTTAGGGCCAGCTGTATTCAAGAGGGAAAGGGCAGTTTTTAAGCCACTGTGTTAGTCCACATGTTTAACAAGCTCCCTTTCAAGAGTTCTGTGCACTGATACAACTCAGGTGTCGCCGTATCACTGGGCACAGTGCTTTACTGTGCATTTCGAGCCAGACTTTGCTCTGAGGCTCACAGTTGCCAACAGGCAAAGAAACAGAGTTTTCTTTGTTGCCACCCCACATAGCTCAGCCTCACAAGGCAGCCTTCCGTCTCCCTGATTTCTTCTGCTATCCCCGCCTAGGGGGCT